AAAACAGCCCTCGAACGTGGCCACGGTTTAGCAGATCGCGGCCCCCCAAGAACGGCGAGGTCTATTTTAGGTCCGCGTGGGACGTCACTCCGCTGGACCCCTGCAGCAGCTCTCGAAAGTGGCGACAGTTTCGCAGATCGCAGCCCCCCAGGGATGGCGAGGTCAAATTTAGGTCCGCGTGGGACGTCACTCCGCTGGACCACCCAGCAGCCCTCGAACGTGGCGACAGTTCCGCAGATCGCAGCTACCCAGGGATGGCGAGGTCAAATTTGGGTTGGCGTCCCTCCGCCAGGCCCCCCAGAGAGATCTCGAACGTGGCGACATGTTCGCAGATCGCAGCCCCCCAGGAATGGCGAGATCTGATTGAGGCCCGCGTGGGGCGTCACTCCGCTGGACCCCCCCGCAGGCCTCGAAAGTGGGGACAGTCAAATCTAGGTCCGCGTGAGGCGTCACTCCGCTAGAACCCCCAGCAGCCCTCGAAAGTGGCGACGGTTTCGAAGGTCGCAGCCCCCATCAGAGGTCTAATCTGAGCCCGCGTAGGGCGACACTGTGCTCCCCCCCCCTCCTCCTCCTCCTCCTCCTCCTCCTCCTCCTCCTCCTCCTCCTCCTCCTCCTCCTCCTCCTCCTCCTCCTTCCCCCCCCCGCAGCCTCGAAAGTGGTGAAGCGTCGCAGATCGCAGCCACCCAGGGACGGCGAGGTCAAATCTGACCCGGCGTAGGGCGACACCGTGCTGGCCCCCCAAACAGCCCTCGAGAGTGGCGGCTGTTTCGCAGATCGCAGGCCCCCAGGAATGGCGAGGTCCAATATGAGCCCACGTCGGGCGGCACTGCGCTGGCCCCCCAAACAGCCCTCGAAAGTGGCGACTGTTTCGCAGATCGCGGCCCCCCAGGAATGGCGAGGTCTAATATGAGCCCACGTCGGGCGATACTGCGCTGGCCCCCCAGCAGCCCTCGAGAGAGGCGACAGTTACGCAGATCGCAGGCCCCCCAGGAATGGCGAGGTCTAATATAAGTCCACGTCGGGCGGCACTGTGCTGCCCCCCCAGCAGCCCTCGAAAGCGGCGACAGTTCCGCAGATCGCAGCCCTCCAGGGATGGCGAGCTTAGATGCAGGTACGAGAGAGAAAGAGAGAGAGATAAAGGAGCGAGGCGGGAAGGAGGGACGCGACCACCATGCTCGATTCAAAACGAGAACCCAACAACGGAGGGTTGGGAATAAGAAAAGCAACAACGTGTATGCAGCTTCCTTTGTGTTCAGATTCAGTATCGCGCCGCGCGTCCAGAACGCGCGAAGAGAGGGCGCTGCATCCGCATTGCGCGGCAGGTGGATGCGGAGGAGAATGAGGAGGAGGATGAGGCTTTCTCGCGATCTCTCGCGGCCTTGGGGTGCCTCTCTCTCTCACTCTCTATATTAAGTTCCCCCTCTCTCTCTCTATCTCTCTTCCTCACTCCCTCCTTCCCTCTCTCTCGCTCTCTCTCTCTCTCTCTCTCCCCCTCCATGTCTTTCTCGATATTACCACATGTCGCTCTGTCGTCAGGGATCTTCCTTATAAATACCTGTATAGAAAGAGAAAGAGAAAGAGAGAGAGAGAGAGACAGAGAGAGATTCCTTCTGAGCGGGATATACATTCCCCTTCCCACGGATTGTACATACTGGGCCCCCGACAGGCGAGGGCCCTCCGAAACCCAAAATGGCGAAGCGCCTCCGAGCCGATTTGTTGTCAGTGCGCTGGAGGTCTGGGGAGGAAAGAGAGGGACGTCCCGCCCGGCCCACGGCACCGCCCCCCCGCCTCGGACACGGGAGCGCCGTGCAGCAGGCCGTAGCCGGGGTACCTCGGGGAACCCCGCCCGCCCGTGCGGCGCCCGCCGACTGCCTGCCGGCCTCCTCCTCCCCCTCCCCCTCAGCTTCCTCCTCCTCCTCCCTCCTGCCTCCCTTGCCAACCCAGGAGCTCAATGAGACCACGGTGGAGGAGGCTGGGATCGAGCAGCAAGACTCTGGGTGTTCAGCCTGCACGGAGCAGGGGCAGGTTGTCATGTTCGGAGACGGCTCTGGGGGGCAAATATTCGGACGACCCGCGACGGAGACGGTGCGGCGCCGCCGTCGTTGGCCTCGTGTAGGCTCGGGACCGAGGCTGGACGCTGGGTGCGGCTCTGGGAGGGCCCTGGTGGGCACGTTGCAAGCGGCTCCCGAGCCGAAGTCATCGCCCTCTGTCTCGCGCTCGGGGACCAGTGCGACTGGTTCCACATTCGTCACAAACCATTTAAGCCATAGACTGCTCCTGGAGACGTAGGATCTTAACTGCAGATCCCTCTGGGGTTAGTGAACACCTTTTTAGCCCAACTGGCATGCGAGGGCCGACCACTAGATGAGCCTGAGGTGTGGTGGACCCGCTCCCACACCTTGACGAGGACAATGGCCAATTAGACCAGCCTCTTTGCTGCTGGAAATCTCTGTGCTGACGTCTGGGCGGAACGGGTAGAGCAACTGGTCTGGGGTGTGGGAGTGGTCGAGCAAAGCCGTTGCATCGAGGTACGCCCGCCTGATCCCCACGTTAGGGGAGGCCGTCAGACGGCTCGTGAAAGAAGGGACTGCGCTGTCCCCCAGCATGTTCCCATGCTCGTCCTCCTCCTCTTCCTCCTCCTCCTCCTCCTCATCCTCCTCATCCGCATCATCCTCAGCATCCTCATCATCTTCAGCATCAGCAGCAGCAGCATCAGCATCATCAGCATCATCATCATCATGATCATCATCATCATCATCATCATCAGCATCAGCATCATCATCATCATCAGCATCAGCATCATCATCATCATCATCATCATCATCATCATCATCATCATCATCATCATCATCATCATCATCATCGGCATCATCATCATCAGCATCATCGTCATCATCATCATCAGCATCAGCAGCATCAGCATCAGCATCAGCATCATCAGCATCATCAGCATCATCAGCAGCATCATCATCATCCACATCATCATCAGCATCAGCATCATCTTCATAAGAATCAGCATCATCATCAGAAACAGCATCAGCATCATTACCACCATCATCAATCAGCAGCATCAACACCATATTCAACATCAACATCAACATCAGCGTCAGCATCAGCAGAATCAGCATCATCATCGTCATCATCAGCTGCATCATCATCAGTATCAGCGTAGTCGTCATCATCATCATCATCATCAGCATCTTCAGCAGCATCATCATCATCATCATTCTCATCATCGTCAACATCATCAGCATCATCATCAGCATCATCAGCATCAGCGTCATCATATTTAACATCAGCAGCATCAGCATCAGCATCATCCTCGTCATCATCATCAGTATCATCAGCTTCAGCATCATCCGTATCAGCATCATCATGAACAACATCAGCATCATGTGAATCATCGCCGTAATCAGCATCAGAAGCATCATCAGCAGAAGCATCATCAGCATCATCAGCAGCAGCATCAGCATCAGCATCATCATCAGCATCAGCGCCATCATAATCATCAGCATCATAATCAGAAGCATCATCATCAGCTTCATCATTGTTATCACCCTCATATTAAATATCATCACCAGTACAATCATCTTCAGCACCATCAGCATCATCAGCAGCATCATCAACATCAGCATGAGCATCACCAGCATCATCCTCATCCTCATCCTCATCCTCATCCACCTCGCCCTCATAATCGATGTTACTATCCTAATCAGCATAACCATACCATCATCATAATCCGCATCATCAGCAGTATCATAATCATCAACATCATGAGCAGAATCAGCATCATCATTATTAGCATCATCTTCATCATCATCAGTATCCTCATCATCATCCACACCGTTACCCGCCTCATCATCATTGTCTGCTTCCTACTCCTCCTCATAACCACCACCATCACAAACATCATCACCATCATCACGCTCATCATCATCATCATCATCATCCACATCGTCGTCGTCATCCTCATCGTCATCGTCAGCAGCATCGTCATTGTCATTGTCATCACCACCGCCACCATCATCCTCCTCTCCCTGCTCCTCCTCCTCCTCCAGTTCCAACTCCTTCTCCTCATCCTCACCCTCCTCCTATTACTATTACTCCTCCTGTGACTCCACATACTTCCCCGCCACAAAGCCCTCGACAGCGGGGGGCAGGTCGCTCGACCGCCAACACGTTCATCTTGAACTGGTCTCGCATGTGCCGCACGAACGGGAAGCACATGCCGAGGTCCTGTGCACCAGAAGATAGAGGAGCAGCAGCACTATAATGGAGGAAGAAAAAGTAGAGGGGGAGGAGGAGGAAAAGGAGGAGGAGGGGTGGAAAAGACAGGAGATGGAGGGACGCGAAAGAGATCAGAGGAGGAGGAGGAGCACGATGAAGAGAGGGCAGGAGGGATGGAGCAGAGAGGAAGAAAAACAGGATCAGACAGCAACGAATCAGAAAATCCAGTAGAATTGGAATATGCGTCGGATCGAGCTGAGTCGGCACGGAGTCGAAATCGAATCGGATCGTCCGCGCCCGAATGCACAGCAGCGCCAATGCAATTGTCGGTCCGCATCGGATCGTCGGAACACCGAAATGAAATCGGAATGGGCTGGCCTAAATCCATAACGAATCGCCTTGGTCGGATCGAACTGTTCTCCCCGCTCAAAAGCGCCCTGAACCACGCCCTCCCCTGGGCCAGAGACAAGGCTCAACGCCTTTCTGCGCTCCAGAGCCATGGCCGCGAACTGCCGGAAAAAGCTGCCCCGCGCGCTTCGCGGCCCCGCAGAAAAACAAAAAAAAAAAAAAAAAAAAAAAAAAAAACCTATCGTTCGCCCGCGGCCATCAAGCATGGCAAGCGGATGAGATGCAACGTTATGATCGTAGAGAGATGAGCGATGATGGGTGACGACGATAATGCAATGAACTATTGTCTCCCTGCAAGAGTTGCGGCATGTCCCCTCGCGCGGACGCAACGCTTGGCCTGTCCCTTCTATGCGCCAGTGGCCGAGTTAGGGCGAGTCGATCAGCCACGAGCTGCAGCTCGAGACATCAAAGGCGTCCTCGGGCGACAGATTGATGTCGCCGCGGGACAAAGCAATCCTGCACAAGCTCAGCGCGGTCAACACTGAGTTCAAGCCTGCGTTGCGGAGCAGGGCCGCCGACGCCAAGGCTTGGACGTTCTTCTTGCAGGTTGCTGGTGAGGCGTTGCGGCCGACACTCCCCAGCCTGCGCATTGTGTTCTTCAGGTGGCCTGAGATACCTTCTGCTGCATTATCACCCGCTGATAATGCGAAGTAGAGCGCGGTCTCCCTGACGGAGGGATTCTTGCCCTTCGCGCGCGCCCTCAGCATGCGGGTGGTCTTGCTGTCCAATTTGGACTTGAGCAACCTGGGCGCAGGCGTGAAGATTTCCCTCTGGTGGTTCACGCCCTTCAAGACCTGGCGCCCAGCGGCTTCGGCCGCGCCGTGGAAGGCCTCACCGCCGTCTGGCGCCACCACGGCGCCCTTCCCCAGCGCCTTCTTCAACGGGCCTTCCACTTCAGCCCTGGTCTCTGGGCCGCCGCCGCCTCTGCCTTTCTTCGTCTCTCTGTCCTGGGGCGCGCGCGCTGTCCATTGTTTCTTGCAACGCCCCTTCAGAACGAGAGTGCGCCCCCGGTGCATCCGCGTGGAAGCCGACGGCCCTCTCTTCCGCGAGCCAGTGCGGCACGTGTCAGGCTCGACCACGTCATCCTCGAACGTCGTGGATTGAGCCCGACGTACTTCCGAGTATGCCATCGCAATCTTGTGTTCGTTGAAAAACTGGGCCACCCTGTTCTCTGTGGACCTGGCGCTCTCGTCTTCGCGCCGGACGAAGTGAACGCAGGAGTCGCTAGGGGTCTTGCAACCATGCGCATAAGCCGTGCGCAAGCACATGACGTAGTCGACGCCCCATCCAGAGCTCGCGTGGCCCGCGAGCGGGGTGAGCGCCACATCTGGCCTGTAGACGCGAGGCCTGATCTTGCACCCCTTCCCATGGCAGCGGAAGACGCCCTCCGAGCTCACAATCGGGCTCTTGCAGGACCAGCAGACAAACTCAAGTTCATCATCAGGTTGTGGAAGAACGCCTGCGTCCTCGAGATACTTCTTGGCCTGTTTCTGGCTGAGCGACAAAATGGTTTCGTAGGCGGGCTGCTCCAACCTAGTGAGGCCCACGTTGTGTCGGGCGCCTGTTGGCTCCGTTCCGCTGTAAGACAACCCGTACTTGTCCTTGCACGCCCTGTTCTCACTTACTTTGATGCCATGCGGCGCGGCTGGCTTGGCTGTCGCCGCAGCGGGTCGCCTGCGCGGTATCTTCGCTTTGGAAGCAAGCTCGGGCACGGGCGCGGGGCGGGCGCGGCGCGACCGCCGCAACTGGCGACCTCAAACTTGCGGTCTAATGGCTGTGGCGCATCGGAAAAAATGAAAGGTCTATCGAAACGGCTGCGGCCTGCCCTTCAAGCCAAATGCTACGGCAAAGAATGATTCAACGTGTCCTAAATCAAGACTTGCTTCTCTGTCATTCGGAACGATTAAAAAGATGGAACCGCCTGGGCAAAACCGATCTCGCCGAGAGCAACAGCTTTGATTCCGCAATGACAACACAGCTGAAGCGTCGGCTGGCGCCTGCGCTTGGGGCGCGAAAGAGCGTCGAAGAGCCGGTGCCACGCTGCCTGTGACCACTCGCCGCTCTGCCCCGTGGGCATGTACAACACCCTCTGAACGTTACCAATGATTCCGTACACGTCCCTGTTCAGCAGTGGAAGACGAGAAGGGTGCACGACAACACCTTCCGAGGCCAGCCTGGCGCGCACTGCGTCCGCAGTGGGAGACTGGAGAGGCTGCGCGCGTGGACCGCCCATTGCGTCATCGATCTGCAGCTCCAGCCGAGCGCGCCCGCCGACGACCTGGGCCCATCCTTGCCGAACCGAGTACATTGGTTTGGAGTTATCGAGTGGCGTACAAGTATAGTTCTTGAGCCAATGTGCTTACGGAAAGCAACTACATGTTGGAGATCTCCTCAAAACTGCTCCTCGTCATCTTCCTTCTCATCTGCCCTGCCTCCTCCCCATCCTCCTCCCTTCTCCCTTATCATCCTCCCTCCTCCTTTTCCCTCCTCCTCCTCCTCCTCCTCCTCCTCCTCCCTCCCTCCTCCTCCTCACTCCTCCTCCCTCCTCCTCCTCCGTCCTCCTCCTCGCTCCTTCTCCTCCCTCCTTCCTCCTCCTCTCTTCCTCCCTCTCTTCTCCCTCCTCCCCCCCCCCCAGTAGTTTCAAAACGTTTTGAAACTGGCTCAGCAGAGCGGTTTGAAGATTGAAGATTGAAGATCGCAGCATACTTATGCACGGAATCTTCAAACGCAGTGTTCCCTCCTCCCTCCTCCTTCTCCCTCCTCCTCCTCCTCCTCCCTCCTCCTCCTCACTCCTCCTCTTCTCCCTCCTCCTCCTCCTCCTCGCTCCTTCTCCTCCTCCTTCCTCCTCCTCTCCTCCCTCTCTCCTCCCTCCTCCCCCCCCCCAGTAGTTTCAAAACGTTTTGAAACTGGCCTCAGGCAGAGCGGTTTGAAGATTGAAGATTGAAGATCGCAGCATACGTATGCCACGGAATCTTCAAACAGAGACGCCCAAGACGTTCACCCTACACACACGCGCTTGAAGAATCATGAACATAAGCGCCTAGGAATATTCAATCTTCAATCTTCAAACAGAGCCGCCCACGACGTCTACCCTACACACAGGCGCTTGAATAATCACAAACAGAAGTGCCCAGAAATCTTCAATCTTCAAACAGAGCCGCCCACGACGTCTACCCTACACACATGCGCTTGAAGAATCACAAACATAAGTGCCCAGGAATCTTCAATCGTCAATCTTCAAACAGAGCTGCCACAGACAAGTTTCAAAACGTTTAAAAACAGCTGGGGTCAATGCAGGGTTTTTGGGATTAATCTGTCTCGTTGTTCTCCTGAGTGGCCGCGGGCGAACGATAGGGTTTGTGGGGGAAAAAAAAAACATCAAAGCGCCTACGGAAACCCTGCGCGCCAGGTCGCAAGAGCGGCAACCCTCACGAGGGGAGCGGGCTGGCATCTGCAGAGCAGGTTCGCGCACGCCGCGGGCAGCCTGCGCAGCAGACCCGCGCGAAAAGGGACGAGGAGGAGGAGGAGGAGGAGGAGGAGGAGGAGGAGGAGGAGGGGGAGGAGGAGGAGGGGGAGGCGGAGAGGAGGGAGGAAGGAGGGAGGGGGAAGAAGAGAGAAGGAGGAAGAGGAGGAGGAGGAGGAGGGGGAGGAGGAGAAGGAGGAGAAGGAGGAGGAGGGAGGAGGAGGAGAAGGAGGAGGAGGAGGAGGAGAAAGGAAGAGGAGGACAAAAGTGAGGAGGAGGGAGGAGGAGGAGAGAGAAGAAGGAAAGGAGGAGGAAGAGAAAGAGGAGGAGGAGGAGGAAGGAGGAGGAGACGAGGCAATGGAGGAGGAGGAGGAAGTTGAGGAGGAGGAAGAGGAGGAAGAGGAGGAGGAGGAGCAGGAAGAGGAGGAGAGGAGGAGGAGGAGGAGAGGAGGAGGAGGAAGAGGGGAGTAGGCGAAGGAAGAGGCGAGGAGGAGGAGGAGGAGGCGGACGAGGCAATGGAGGAGGAGGAGGAGGAGGAGGAGGAGGAGGAGGAGGAGGAGGAGGAGGAGGAGGAGGAGGAGGAGAGGGGGAGGAGGAGAAGGAGGAGGAGGAGGACGAGGAGGAGGAGGAGGAGGAGGAGGAGAAGAAGGAGAAGGAGGAGGAGAAGGAGCAGGAGGAGGAGGAGGAGGAGGAGGAGGAGGAGGAGGACGAGGAGGAGGAAGAGGAGGAGTAGGCGAAGGAAGAGGCGGAGGAGGAGGAGGAGGAGGACGAGGCAAGGAGGAGGAGGAGGAGGAGGAGGAGGAGGAGGAGGGTGAGGGGAGGAGGAGGAGGAGGAGGAGGAGGAGGAGGAGGAGGAGGAGGAGGAAGAGGAAAAGGAGGCGGAGGCAGGAGGAGGGGGAGGCTTAGGAGGCGGAGGAGGAGAAGGAGGAGGAGGATTTTTTTCACCGCAACGCTTACAAGGCAGCAGTCAGCTGACCTGGGGAGACTCGGCCAATGTGCTGTGCTATGCCACACGCACCGCACAGCACGGCAGTGCAAAGGTCAAGAACACTGCACCGAGGATGGGCTGGCATCCCCCAGATTTCGCCGAAGAAGGTGATAGCAGTGGCCGCGGGTGGCAATGGGTCCCGGGGGGGAGGGCCATAGCACAAAGACCCGCGGGCGAGAGGCCCCTCACAGGCACACCACTGGCCCAAGGGGACCAATGGCTACACCTAGACGGGGGCCAAACTTGCCAGTACAAACGAATTAGTCGGAGTCTTCACTATTTCCACCGCTGTGATTCGCGACGGCGCCAGCTGCAGCCTGGGGCCGCAATGAAACAGAGACTCGACGGAGCGTTACGCCCTCATCAGGGGTGGACGGCGCCGCTGGGGCAGGCTGGCCGGGTAGGACACCAATCGTGTGCTGGCACCCTGGCAGTGGCGGAGGCCCGCTGGAAGACGAGGCAGCTGTTCCGGGAGTGGGCTCCGGGACGCAGCCGAAAAAGGGAGGCGTCCAAGGGGAAGGGAGAAACTTGACATTCTTGGCACGTTTCCTCTCCTGAGGGTGCCTCCCTGCACAAAAATATTTCCAGGCGGTCCTGCCCGCCCCTGGATCTTCGCGTCCATTGCAGGGCTCTCCGAGCTTCTTAACACGGCCACCCGTGCTATAGAAGTGGCACCGCAAACAGATACAGAGAAATGAACCATCAGAGCAATCCACGAGAGCGCATTTGTGACCCATCTCCGACAGCAGAGACGGGGTGAGCTTGGGCAGACCCGCGCACCTCCCAGGGGCAGGTTTGGCCGACTGGATAGAGCGAGCGCTAGGTATGACTTCCGCCCTGGTACCCCTAAGGCACACATTGCATTGCCAGTATTCTCCTTGCCAGGCCCAATCGTGTTCCTTGACGCTGGAGGCCTTGGGCCGAGGATCTGGCTTCAAGTACTGGGCGGTAGACAAATCGCACTTTGGCCACAGTGGGAGAAGATTCGTGGCCAAGCGAATTACCGCTTTGCTGGTCTTAATATAAAAATTGATGGTGTCCTGGACATCGGGGCCAGGGGCAGGGTGCAGCGCGGCTCCCTTCTTGGCCGCTGCATCGGCGTGCTGGTTCCCGCGTCTTTTGAAATATTCAACATCCGAGATTCCAGCCTCGTCGAGCTCCTTGTGAGCCGCGACTTTGATGACAGTGTCGATTTTTCCCGAGGCGCCGGAGAACCCTTCCAAGACTGAGCCGGCATAGGCCCGTTTGCCAGAGAGGCGGTCCTGGGCGTCCCGGGCACAAGCCGAAACAACACTGGCGCAATCCGAATACAGAGAGGCCTTGTCATCTAGGTTAACGCCCGCAGCAGCGAAAGAAGAGAATTCCCCCGCTTGCGGAGTCTGCGGGAAGTGGGACCAAACGGGGCCGTAACACCATCCCAGCAGAGCCCCCTGGTCCGAAGTCCTCACGAAACCCCAGCCTGCTCGGGACAATTCTTTGATTGCCGATTTGAAACAACTGCCATCGAGGAAAACGTGCCGAGAGAAGCTCAAAGACTCAGGACCCGCGAAAGCAATCCCAGCCTCCTCGAACCCTTCCTGGAAATACTGGAGAACAACGTGTTCCATGCCCTGCTGTCGAATCGGAGGAGGAACCACGTCTCCAGGATGAGGAAAAGCACCCGTGAGAAACAGGATCAGGTCCAAGGAGCCTTCGTCTCTTGCTGAACATGCTCTGCGAATCGTTGCCGCGTCCACTAGCTCTGCCCTGACATCGGCACAAGCCTCACATTCCCAGAGTCTGTGAAATAAAGAATCAACGCATTTCCCACACAAGGGACAAGCAAGTTCCACCTGGTATCCCTCAGCTCTGGCGTGCGCCTGAGTCCATATGGCGTTGCACGCTAGCGATCGCAGGCAACCCTTTTCAAAAGCAGACAACTTGGTCGAGTGCAGAGCCGTCGTGATCAGATCGAAGCACAAACGGGGGACTTGATCGCTAGGGCGATCGCCTCCGGCAGCTAAGCAGGCCGCAAACCAATCTTGCTGCCGCACGCTGTCGACACCATCGAAGATCCCTCCCTGCACCAGCTTGCGAAGCGCTTGACGCTCAAGCTGTCGGAGGACGGCGACACGGAGGAGTTTCTTAATAAGTTCTGGCCCCAACAGCGTGCACGATAACTCATTCCCGAAATCGTCGACGAAAGTCGCGAAGTTTTTCATGGACCACTTGATCCTCACCAGGGACAAGTACATAGCCGACATAGGCCCCGAAACCGTTTTCCAGGAAAGCTTTTGCTTCTTGGCGCCGCCGCCGAAGACCGCTTCCCAAGATGACCTCAAAGTCGCCCAGTCCAGACATCCACCAAAAAGCCTCGCCCGTAGGAGCCAGACTTCCTTGCAATAGCGAACGATCGGGGCCACCTCCGCATACCATACCGGGTCCCCATCGAGCAAACTCAACACGGTTAAAGATCGGCTACCCGAGGAGGGTTTTACAACACTGGCCGCGAGCCTCCTGAGCTCGAGGATCTCCGTCGACGTCATACCCATAACTTCTGTGCCGTAAATATACCCTGGGAGCGGCCCAGAAACGAAAACCTTGAGCGCCTTGCGTCCGAAGTGGCCCCTGAGAGTTTTAAGACGCCGAACTTTCCGTGTCAAGTGCGCCTTCCTGAGTGCTCTCTTGGCTAACTTGGTGGTCCTGCCAGCTCTGAAACTAGCTCCTGCAGCGTCATCGACTCCAAGGTTGGCTGCGGAAGGCCTCCAGCCGCCGCTGAGGTCGCCCAGCCTCTCCTCAATTGCTTTTCCTAATGCCGGGCAGGAACAAATCAAGGCGCATTTCTCGAGAGAAATATTGTTCCCCATCATTTCCTTAATATGGTAATACAACATGGAAGTCATGAGGAGGATTGAGTCGAGCACGAACTTCCACATTCCTATGGCCGAGACATTGGTATCGTCGATGTAGGCGTCGAAGCTTCGGTACTTATCTATCGAAAGGGTGCCGTCGCTCGTGTAAATCTCGGGGCAGTCAACTCCGTTCAACGTCCTCGGGATCGTATCGAACGCGTCGAGAGAGTGGATCCTAATCATGGTGGTCGCCTCGCTGCATCCAGCAATCACTCCCAGAGTGGCGAAGTGTGGGCCGCATACAATCCCTGCCAAAGACATGTACCGAGCACCCTGATAAGCCGCTATACAAACATTCAGCAGAGCAAGCGGGAATTGATGCTTAATTCCTCTCAGGCGCAGCGTGTCTAAACAGATCTCTTCGTAATATTTGTACATGTCCCACAGAACCGAAGCCGAGTACATACCTTTACGAACTCCCAGTTCGGAACGGAAACTCTGCCTCCACACCGTGTCCAGGGCTCCCCGATGCTTCCCAGCCGAAAAGTAACCACGAGCGTTCGCAGCCTCCCAGGAGTCCGCCAGAGGACGACGAGCTTTCCCCCAGATTCTGTATGGTGACGGGAAAACGCCGATCGGTCGAAATCCTCCGACTGGTTTGGTCAGGAGCGCTATCAAGACAGCCCGAAGCTGCGACGGAAGAATACCCGAACTCTCCATGAGCCCAAAAATGCGGATCAACACGGTCAGGCTAGCATCACTCATGTACTGGTAGTGCCTGACATGGAAGCCGTCGATGGACACCGCGCTCCTCTCAGGATAGGACCTGCTGATTCTCCTCAAATCCTGCACCGACAGCTCGGGCAAACCGGGGGCATGTCTAATCTTGACCTTCGGAGCCCCCTCCCGGACTTTCCACAGAGCACTGAAACGCTTGGATTCCTTGTCCAAGAGACTCAGGGGGTCAGACACCACCACACCTCCCGAGGAGAGGGTGGTGGAGGGGGTCCAGGAGAGCGGGTCCTTGATGGCCGAATGTGCGTTTTTAGCTCCCTTGTTGATGCTTTCCGTGAGCCAAGCGTGCCAATCTTGCTTCGCGACTTTGTCGTGAAAGGCAACGCATGCTCCTAGCATCTCCTTCTGGCTGGAATAGATATCCTCCATCTCCTGTAAATACTCCGGAAAAATATTCTCCTCTGACCAGCCTCTGAGAACATCTTGTATAGCGTCGAGGTGGGGTCGAAGATCTCCCAGC